CTCTCTCTCTCTCTCTCTCTCTCTCTCTCCCTCTCTCTCTCTCTCTTTCTCAATGTAATTTTCCTCCTGCGACGGGGAAAAAATTGCTTGGGAGACCGCGTAACGAAAGGATCGCGTTTATTAGACCGGTGTTAATAAAACCACGTCCCGCGCATTTAACGGCCATAATTATTGTCCTAAGTATTTCTACTAACGAGTCGAATTGTATTAAATACTTGCGATGGTTTCATCACCCGGTACCCCTCATGGAACGATTCAATTTTTTATGTTCGGAATTATGTTCTCGATACTAGTACTTGTTGAAATAGAACACCCGTTAACTATAGACATTTTTTACAGTCGCTGGAGTATAAATATGTGAAGCGGTGATTTTCAATTGAAATAAAAAGGAATTTAATTAACATTACCGGAATGTAGTAAATTTTCATGATAAAGCTTCATTATATTGTGTTGCGATCATTTTTCATCGAGATACATCGAGTTGCAACAAAGTATAGAACCCACGCGGTTTTTTTTAATTGGACGTATTGTAAATTTGTAATTAATTGTAACGCATAATTGCATGGAGTATTCAAGCTATTTGCAGTGACAGCTTTATGTTCATATCCACTTCAACGCGTTGCGGCTCGAAATCACTTCAGCTCCGTCATTGTTCGATTAAGCATCAACGAGAGGTAAATCGCGGGATATCTCGTGTTGAATATTTTATATAATATGTATCGTATTGAGAGATCACGGCCACCGCAAATCAGGCACCTCCGGACATCAGCCTTGGAGTAAATTTAGCTCTTAGTTGCCCACAATATACAGACGGGTGGAAAGATCAATATCAAATTACGGGTAATAACGGAAATAAGAATGGTATTATGTGGGTTCAACGTTTAAGGTATAATGGCCGGGTACCGGGTGTAATATCGTTTAATAATTTACTTAGCTGAGGGTATCCTTAAGCGATGCTCGTTCCATCAACGCCGCGAATGTCATGGTTCGGAGGTACACTTTCACTTTTGGATAAATGGTGCGCCGCACGATGTCCGACGGTATCGTTATTGGCCATGCATAACAACAATTTCGTGCACAATTGCCGCGAAGAACGTACTGAGAAAATTTCGCTGCGACAATATTTCAGTCTCCTTGATCTCAATAATATTTACGAGAGCACAAAATTACTTTCATAAGATAAACTGGAATTAATACATCGAAATAAGTGAACAAATATTTTATTGAATATTCGCAGTGAAAACAAAAAGCGCGAAGTTTATTATACGGAGAATTAAAGAAAATAAAAAAACAACAAAAAAACTAAAACAAAAATCAAATCATAAGTATAGTAAATTACACTTCAAATTAGTATTGAATGATAATAATAATATCATATTACTACTAAGTTAAATTTAATATTTTCATCAACAATAACCTTATAATATCGAATGAAAGGGAAATGTTTACCATATCTACAACAAACGAAATGATTTTCTTTAACAAGGAAATCGTAAAAAATAAAGTAATTTTAACGGACAAAATTATATAAGCATTGTGCGAATAATAAACGCGATATGAAACAAGACCTACATCCTTTAACGGATCAAAGTATTCGGCTTAAATAGAATTTCGCAAGTATTTTCTAACGGTGTTAAGGAAGAAGTCGGGGATGGTAGGGTTTCGTTGGTCCGCCCTCGCCGTCACGTTTAGAGTGCAGTCGTGGGTTGGAAAAGCGTCGATATAACGTAGGCACTCAGAGCCCGGGGTGGCGTGGTCGAGTTCCGATATACCAGGTGTTACGATAAATTTAAACGATATTTTATTCAGGCGGGCCGATCGCTAGTTTTCAATTTGCCGGCTCGTATATATTTCGCGAAGGTCGGCCATGGGAGGGGTGACTGCCGGCCCTGGAGATGCAATTTCTTGGGGTGGTCCGTTCGTCTGGACCCTCGGTCGAGGCCGCGTCTCTCTCCTTCTCTCTTTCTCTCTGGACTTGATGAAAAAATAATAATCCCGGGGGAACGGTCAGTTATGGGGAATGAAATCATCCCAGCGCCGTTCGTGCTCGCCCTATTGAACCTGTGTGTACCCCTTGTCTTTCGACCTCCCTCAATCTTTATTTCTCCTCGGCTTAGATTGCCGGACGAAGGAAGCGAACAATTTTCGTTGTTCCGCGTTTACGCGATGGAACAAGGTAATTCGATCGGAACAAGGTAATTCGATCGGAACTTAACGTTCGAATTCGATGGAGGCTTTGATCTGGATCCCATCTCGGATCTTTGAATATTCTTTGGGCTAGCTGTTAGGGATTTGGGTTCCTTGATTTGAAAGGTCGGGGAAGTTTCTTGAGGTTCCATGTAATTTACCATCTTCTTCTCCGCCTATCACGCTAATGTATAGCAGCCTTGACCCCGCGTTCGATATTACTGTTCCGGGCCGAACAAGTTTTCGAGCTTATCAGCTTGTTTCCCGGAGGGACAAGTCGCCGGATGATGTACAATCCCTTATCATCGTCAGATCGAAGGATACCGGGAGAAGATATCCTATCTCGATTCTTCTGGTAAACATTAGGTCGGTTCTCATCGTAAAGGGTCAGTTGCTTGGCTATTTGTTTCTTCTTTGCGTCGAAGTGTCCTGTTGTTCGCAGTTAATGGCTGCGAACTTAAATTTATTTCTCTTGTTATGAAATTTATGATCAATAAACTGTTGTGTGTTTTATAGAGTACTTTATGCTTACATGTAAAACAGGAACTCTCTGTGAAGAACTTTTGATATTTTAGATAAGAATAAGAATTTAAACATCACTTTTACTTATTCTTTCCGTTTCTTAAACTTTGAGACAAAGAAGTTTTTCGAGCTTAAAATATGTTAGTAACTCTTTGAGGAGAACCTGCATTCCCAGCTCAAAAATGGTGCAGCAATGCCTGCTTTAATTTTATCAACTTTCAAATGGTATACGAACTTCATTAAGGTTCGCGACAATCCCATACCCAACAAGTGCAATCCATATATAACTCAGTGTAATTCGAGGAAACGTTATCTCCGTCGTCCAACAACAAGAAAGGTACCGTTCAAACACCGACGCACCTTGTTCCGCAGCACGGGAACAGCTGAACAACGCGTGCAAGAAAAACTGCAGGTCGCCATGTGTCGTCATCGTTGCAGTGTATCGACATTGCGTGAAAGACGGTCGGCGAAAAGATGACGCGCAATTCGCTCCGCGATGCATTAGGCGTTCATTACGCGGGACTCGATTAACGCAAACGTTTCGGTGTAATTCCCGGGGACACAATTGCTTAATCTACACTTAAACGCGCGAACGAAACGAGTTACTGCAATAAGCGCAATTCCGCCGGGAGTAATTCCATTATGAACTGCCGAAGAAAGGGAAACGCGTCCTCTCCTGCCCCCTCGGCTCCTGGCGCCCACCCCCTCCCCGTAGCCGAGTTTCTT